GTGTGGTTGACTCTTAACTTTTATAAAGAATATCTCTTTGGATTTGAGACTTTAGTCTTTGCAACTTTACAGATCTTCTTTATGCACCAAGAGCTTGTAACACTCCAAAGAGAAAGGAACAGTTGAAATCGCATCATATGACCCCTTTAAGGTGTTTTGAGTTTTGTTTACCCGTTTCTGCGAGGCTGCTGAGGTGTTCTGGCTGGTATATCTGTGTTCATTTAGCCAAGAAACGAATCCTAGTTCATTTAATAATCAATTAATCCGTTTTTTTTTAATATTAAAAAAAAAAAAAAACAAGTTGTAGATATATATATATATATATACATAAATCAAGGCCCTTTTTATATAAACTTTTTAATGATATATTCGCTTAATTGTGCAGCCACTGAGACACTCAGTGAATATTACGACACATTAAAGAGCATCAAACCCACATTTATTGTTTGTATTTCATGACAAAATTGACAGCAAAGCTGAGCGTTTGTTTCATATCAAAAGCAACAAAGCACAAAGCTTATTGTGATTATTGCATGACAGGTGTGCTACAGATAATGTTTACTGATAGTTTGTTCAAACATTAACTGAAAACAGCACAAATTTAATTTACCTGTTATAGTTTATCCACGTTGTGTGAACATAATAAACACTGACAACATCAAAAACACCATTGAATAAGCACTGCACCATGATTTTGGTCATCCAAAACTGTTTCAACTGAAAACAAAAATGTATATAACCAGACTTTATATCTTCATTTTGCATCTCAAGTAAATGCATCTTGATTTAAGGATGTTTAGATATTTGTACTGGAAAACAAGACAGAGGATGATATTTATTTTTTGCAGCGAATGCAACATTTAATGCCACGACTATATAAAGAATTTCTGCTCCAAGACTAAAAGGGGCTTTAAGCAAATTAATGCTTTTTATGATCAGCAGAAACCCTGATGAAAGACATGAGTGCACATAATTCCAAACACAATGGAATTGATTTTTTTTTTCAAAGAAAAGCAATGCTTAAAATTAGTTGTGTAATTGGTAATTGAATTTAAAAAATAAGTCCGCAGTGGACACAAGCACTTCAGCAGCAACAAGACAAGAGACGCTGTGAATGAGCACATCTGCAGTAGCCTTCATTGAACAGATTCCATTACAGGTAATGTTTTTATGCATTGTGTTATATGTTTCGTTTCATACAAACATTAAATACATTTTCAGCCGAATATTCATGGCTGCTGTCCCTTCTTGAATTAAACATTTTCACTCATTTTATTAAACTCTCTTACAAAAGTAAAAGCACAATTCTCCTTAACAAGCCACATAATTTAAGGCATCAATCTGTGACACAAATGATGCATGACGAGCGACGTGCCCGTGTTAGTAGCCTACTTGGGGTTAGGGATTTGTTTAAATGACTAACTCTCGGTATGAGCAATGATAGCTTGCCTTAGTAAAGACTAATTAAACTTCCTCTGAGTCAGAAGTGTTGTGTGTGTCTTGCAGCGGTTCACATATGGCAGTGATAGCTTGTGTCATCGTGCGGCCGTTTCTTCAAGAAGAACTTTCATGTAGTTGGTCACTTTCTGCAGTTCATCTGTCTGTGAGGATGCATGACTCGAACAGGCTGTGAGAATGTCGTCTCAAACTTATTGTTTTGTGAAATGCACAAAATGCACACTGCATCTGAAAGGTTTTGATTTGAGGAGGACTTATGTCGGCCGATGACATTGTCCTGTTCCTCTGTGGCCACATTCCTCTCGGCTGACACAGAGAACAGTATGCAGACTTGGATGGAGGAAACATTGGTAGCGGGCGGATCTTGGCTGACGCTCTCAGTTTGTGTCTCCACGGCTTAAACGAGAATGTGTCTGGGTCTAGTTTTGTGCCTTTCACATAAAAAAGAGGAAAAAGAGTAGCTTTTCTTGCCAAGGGTCTGTAAGTGCTCGTATTCCGTACATTTGTCAGGTGTGGAGAGAGATAATTGGATATCTTACTGTATGTGCAGAATGGGCAGTGCATTATATACAACATTACTGTTGGTTATTTTAAAAGCAAAAAAAGTAGGCTATTGTTAGTTCTTTATTATTGTCTGATAAAATCTGCATGATGGATTCCAATGACAAAAGCCTGATGCTGCTTTGTTGGTATGCGAGGGTGACTTTTATTCTAGCAAAGATAAGTCGTTAAATCATGGATTTGTAAAATATCATCTACTTTGCATTACTTTTCTTTTGAAGTCTATCACACAGCAGTGATAAAAGCGACAACAGTCAGTCAGTGCATGTGTTTAAGTCTGCATGTTTTGCGTGTCTCTGCGAATTAATGCTGTGGTTTCGTCTGATACACAAACTCAAACACACGCGACGCTCGCAGTGTTTTCAGCACCTGCGTCTCACTATATGAGGACATGAACACATGAACTTCATCTCTTCATCGCTCTGAGAATCACTTCAGCAGCTTTTGCTTTGAGAAAAACTACCGTCAAACACACACTGAACCTGAAAGTAAAGCCGAAAGACTTTCACGACAAGCCGTCAAAAGTCTGGTTTAACTTGAAGAAATTATGACAGAAATATATTTTTAACACTTTGCAATAAGGTTCCATTAGTTAATGTTAGTCGATGTATTAACTTACATGAATAAGCAATGAACAATACATTTATTACAGTATTTATTCATCTTTGTTAATGTTAGTTAATGAAAATACAGTCGTTAATTGTTATTTCATGTTAATTCACAGTGCATTAACTAATGTTAACAAGCACGACTTTAGATTTTAATAATGCTTTTGTAAATGTTGAAATTACCATTTACACAGAAGTATCGGTCATGCTTAGTTCATGTTAACTAAAGTAGTTAACTAATGTTAACTAATGAAACTTAAGTGTAAAGTGTAAAGTGTTACCAATATATTACTATTGCATACTAAAAAAGTAATAATACTAATAAAAATAACTTTAAGGAATATCATACAACCAAGGTATTTTTTAATTAATTTATACAGTTCTGTTGTGCAGCTTCTGATAAAATGGAAAAAATAATTTAGGGGAAAATAAAATAAAAATTTCACGTGGCCCTAAATGAAAAGGTATCATCATATTTTGTGGAGTTTAATTGTGAACAAACAAAGTTAAGTTTACATTTATTCTCAAGGTCTAACAAACATGTGGAAAGCATTTCCTTCCCTATTAATGGTACATATTGATATAGTATATTATGGAAAAAATATTGTGATGACACTACAGCGTGAACAATCAGAGGCGTCTCTCAGGAATCAGATTGCAAAGTATCTTGAAGGTGGATTGATTTTTACCACAATCAATTGATTTAATCACCACAATAACTAGCGCCACACAGCATGGTAATCTTGGTAATAGACGCAACTAATTCAAATTAAATTTACGTACACAAATGTGACAAATTCTTCATGTCAAATGAGGCGGTGTGCTACGTATCAGTCGAAACGCGATACTATTTCATAAGGACATTTGTAAAGTAATTTAGGGATGCTTGTAAATTTTATTGTTAATTTTCACAGGATATACAGCTTGTCATTTGACCTCACAAAATACATTTATGTGTGTTATTAAAAAGTAGAGTATATTTAGGATTATTAGCAGAAATTAATTTGAATGCAATATGCGACTAGTATTATAATACAATCCTCTGAAATTCATAAATGCATAAATCTGTATTCAAAATAAACAGGCATATAAATATATATAAGCAAACATATTCTGATAAGTCTCGTCTGTCAGCTGATCTGATGTTTGCTACTTGAATGCAAGATGAATGTAACTTGCTCTCATTTTTAATAAGCAGGAACAATTCCTCACTCCATATAAATAAGCAATTACAGTACAATTGGATATGTAATGTGCATTCTTTTGTTCACTTCACAAGAATTTAACATAAAAATGTTATCACATGTAGAAAATGACTTATTGGTAAATTGAGTGTTTCACAAATATGTGTTCATAAAAAACACATATATTAATATGTTAACTGATGTATTAATGGAATGCAATGGATGACTTTGGATAAAGTAGTTTTGGATTAGAGTTTCTGCCAGATGCACAAAGTTGCTTTCCAAAACCTTCACCCTCTCTGTTCCTCTCTGGTGGAATGAGTTTCCAACCAATCACAACTTTCAAGAATCAGCTGAAGACACACCTTTTCCACCAGCATTTAACTACTCCACAACTCTAATCCAATGCTCCAGCTTCTTTCCTCGCTTTGAATTTCTCTTCTGCTCTAGCTTGTTTCCTAATCTAGCTTTCTAATAAACGTGGCATTGGATACTCCGAATATTGTTGGCTCTATGACAGATCGCTCTTGCTATTCAATTGTAAGTCACTTTGGATAAGAGCATCAGCTAAATACATAAATGTAAATTAATTTGTGGGAATCAGTTCAAACTGTTTGAATGAACGGATTCAAATCTTTGATTAATTTGCATCGTCATTCAGAAATGCAGTGGCATGTTTATAATGAAAATGTTATAGAATGCTGGTAAATATTGCTGTTTTTATGTGTTGTGATATAGCTTATATGAAAAAGACTGTCATTGCTTAAATGTTAATGTAGTGAAAACTTCGCAGAAAACATGCGTGTAATGGGCCACAGCGGCTGTTTGGCTGAAATGATGGTTTCTCTGGTTAAAAAGAGATCACCATTTTAGGCTATTTCAGAGCAAATGCAAAAATTTTGAGATATATACAGAATATAATCTAAAATATATGAAGGTAATTTTTGTAGCTATTTAAAAAGGCCTTAGTGGTGTGTAATCAAACTCTAACCTCAGTCAGAGAGTAATAATATAATTTAAATTTAAATAATTAAGATTTCAAAAGACAACTTCTCTCATAAATGCCTCGGCTCTTTTCTGCAGCTGTGGTCACGGGCGTTTGTGACATGATGCCGGGACAGATACCGGACCCCTCGGTGACCGCCGGCTCGCTGCCCAGTCTGGGCCCTCTAGCGGGCATTTCTGCCACCACACTGACTGAACACCTGAAATACGCCGACCTCTGCAACCTTGGGGCCATGCTGTCCCCTTTACATCTACTGGGGAAGCTGGGCAAGCGGACGCTCCCTATTAAAGCCGAGGTGAGCACCTTTCATCCTTTAGCTTGGGGAACACATTTAGAGGCATCTGTAGGAAGAAGCACTGTTGTATTATTTGCTTGAGCTAGTACACATCAGTGTGAGCCAGTCTGTTTCATATATGCATCTAAATGATTTATCTGCAGGAAACCCAAACCTGATAGCGGAGCTGTAAACTGATTTAATCATCTGGATTCAATCAGGTGTATTAAAAAGAGTTAAGTGTTGCTTGTGTGCTTTATTGTTCACTCCATTATTTGATATTGCTTTCCAAACGTCTGCAGCACATGCACTGTAAAAATGATTTTTCAATGTTGTGAATAAAGATTATTGGAGTATTTTTACAGCATTTCTACTTAAAAAAAAAGCACGTTTAACTGTTGTTTTCCTTTACTTTGTAATTATTATTAAAATTTCTGAATGAAGTTTCAAAGTAAATCTTACATCACATTTTTAGTATGCACATCTGGCACAATACTGTGCATACTTATCAAACTGCAGGGACTCCATCTAGTGGCTAGAAAGTTACTGTTCAAACAAAAGACTCTTGTTGCGTCCCAATTCGCCTACTTAAAGTATGTACTCTTTTGGTGAAGAAAAAGTACACGCTTTTGAGTGTGCAGTAGAAAAGTAGGCAAGCTTTGGGACAAACTCTCATGTCATACAATTGCGTCTTTAACGGAGCGCTCGGTCGCATAATTACACACACCCTGTCACTGTAAACTGGCCTGTCAATCATCTTGTCACAGTTTATATCCTCCACTTTTCATTTAATTTAACTTACTACCATATCGGAGAGAAAAGTAGCAGCAAGTTGATCTGCAAGCCGCGGGTCTTCATGTGGAGAACTCCGCTCATATTTTCTGCATAATGATGCATTTAAAAGTTAATGACCAAACGGATGTTTATAATAGTTTACATTGCTGTTGCAGATGAAATATAACACAGATAACGTTAAATAAATATTTTTTTAGCAGGTTAAATGTTGATTATTAGTAACTCAAACCTGTTTATCTAAACCTGTGGTTCCCAACCCTGGTCCTGGAGGCACCCGACGCTCCCTATTAAAGCCGAGGTGAGCACCTTTCATCCTTTAGCTTGGGGAACACATTTAGAGGCATCTGTAGGAAGAAGCACTGTTGTATTATTTGCTTGAGCTAGTACACATCAGTGTGAGCCAGTCTGTTTCATATATGCATCTAAATGATTTATCTGCAGGAAACCCAAACCTGATAGCGGAGCTGTAAACTGATTTAATCATCTGGATTCAATCAGGTGTATTAAAAAGAGTTAAGTGTTGCTTGTGTGCTTTATTGTTCACTCCATTATTTGATATTGCTTTCCAAACGTCTGCAGCACATGCACTGTAAAAATGATTTTTCAATGTTGTGAATAAAGATTATTGGAGTATTTTTACAGCATTTCTACTTAAAAAAAAAGCACGTTTAACTGTTGTTTTCCTTTACTTTGTAATTATTATTAAAATTTCTGAATGAAGTTTCAAAGTAAATCTTACATCACATTTTTAGTATGCACATCTGGCACAATACTGTGCATACTTATCAAACTGCAGGGACTCCATCTAGTGGCTAGAAAGTTACTGTTCAAACAAAAGACTCTTGTTGCGTCCCAATTCGCCTACTTAAAGTATGTACTCTTTTGGTGAAGAAAAAGTACACGCTTTTGAGTGTGCAGTAGAAAAGTAGGCAAGCTTTGGGACAAACTCTCATGTCATACAATTGCGTCTTTAACGGAACGCCTAGTAAGAGCTTGATTAGCTGGTTCAGGTGTGTTTAATTAGGGTTGGAGCTAAACTCTGCAGTTTGGACAGCCCTGCTCCAAGACCTGAAATTGGTGAATCATAGAAAGGAGACATGCAAAATGTGCAGTGTTGGGGTGCCTCAAGGACCAGGGTTGGGAACCACTGATTTAAACCTCTCTACTTCACCTTCGGTTGCGCACATCCACCATATTTGTAGGTTTTTAATGCTTTTTATTCATGTTTGTAGTTCTCAACCGAATAATTCGCCAAAGCGCAATGGATTGTGGGTAATATTAGCCATCAGAGTGTGCATGGATCCACACTTCAAAAATCGACCTGAAATAGCAGACCATCCGGGGACTTCTGGCTTACTCTTTTTAACGTACTATGCTTTTGGACACACTTATTCTAATCTCACATACTATTTAGGATGGATAGGATGAACATTGGGACGCAGGGTCTGAATTAAAAAAACTGTAAATGAAACATTAAAGCAGAATGCAGTGTGGTTTGGCCCAACCATATCAAGCTATGGTTACACTTTATTTTAAGTTGTCCTTGTTACAGTGTAATTATACATTCAAGTACTGAGTAATATTAATTAACTACATGCACTTACTAAATGGTTAGGGTTAGGATTAGGGTTTGGTTTAGGGGTACTTGCATGTAATTATGCATAATTGTTATTATAATAGTAAGTACATGTAACATGTGCAACAAGGACACCTTAAAATAAAGTGTTACCCAAGCTAGTTTTACACAGTGACAGATAATGACTTAAATATGCAGTTACATCTCATATTAATTTCAATTATTATGACATATTTTATATTGAATTATTTATTTTTAAGTTATTACATTCCCTGCCTTTTCATTTAGTTGCATGTTGGGTGCGAATAGCAACAGGTTCTCGTTTGAGAAAACAGTGGAGGGAGAACATTCATACCGACTGAACAGCTGTTACTGTTATAGGAATAGTTCAACCAAAGAATGATAATTTGCTGAAAATGCACTCGACCTGCAGGCCACCCAAGATTAGGATGAGTTTGTTTCTTCGTCAGATTTGTAGAAATGTAGCATTGCATCAGTGTCTCAGCAATGGATGCTCTGCAGTGAATGGGTGCCGTCAGAATGAGAGTCCAACCAGCTGATAAAAACATCACAATAATCCACAAGTAATCCACAGCACTCCAGTCCATCAGTTAATGTCCGGAGAAGCCAGAATTAAATCAAAAGTAAAACAGGAGAGAAATCTGCACAGATCAAGCACCGTTTACAAGCTAAAACAGCTCTAAACAAATATGTGGCTGGATTTTGATGTGAGAGACAACAGGAGATGCACTTTTTCACTGGAGGAAGCGTTATTATGGATTATTTTGGTCAGAAGCAGTGATTAAAAACATCTTAATGCTGGATTTGTTTCAGCTTTTGTCTTCTCCAGATGTTAACTGATGGACTGGAGTGGTGTGGATTACTTGTGGATTATTGTGATGTTTTTATCAGCTGTTTGGACTCTCATTCTGACGGCACCCATTCACTGCAGAGCATCCATTGCTGAGACACTGATGCAATGCTACATTTCTCCAAATCTGATGAAGAAACAAACTCATCCTAATCTTGGATGAACTGAGGGTGAGCGCATTTAAATTTTTTGGTGAACTATTCCTTTAATGCAGACCGATTGAATGTTATTTAATGAAAAAGTTTGTATTAAAGCTCACGACTTGGCGTTATTATTACTCACTTCCGATGAAGGCTAAAATGCTGCTGCGGGTTACACAAGCATTTCATAATCGTCATCCATCCATGCTCAGTTTATGTGATCAGCAAGTTCAGAGAGCACTGATTCATACGAACTGATTATTGGCCGATTCCAGTGCACTCAATGCGTTACATTTATGGCTGGCTATATTTTCTACCGTTTTGAAAACATTTTTCAGACATGTCTTACAGATTTCATTCAGCAAAAACCTATTGATATTTCAGTTAATTCTTGCATTTCACAATTTGATGGCAAACGGGAGGTTTTTTCACTCTATCCTGCAGTATACTATGATTGAGTTTTTAAGGTCTTTTTTTTCTTTGCCTTAGATAACAGATTTAAATAAAACCCAACCAGAAATGAATTATTATCTGCAACACTTTGGAATATTAACAAAATACGATGTCACTTAGTGGTCAAAAAAATATTAAGCTGTTAATAATGATAAATATACTCAGTTGTTTTTAAATTCACCAGCAGGAACAAATGTGCAGTAGTGTTATTCTTGGCTCCATAATTTTTTACTCTTATTGTATTATTAATTTTTATATTGCATGCAAGTTCCTTGAATTTAAAGGTGAATTGAATGTTTTAAACCGGTTTTCTAAACAAATAAATTACTTTAATGGCACATACTCATTTTGTAAGTAATGTAGTGTATAAACAGACCTATAAAAACCTTTGTCTTCTTATTTTGCTGTTGCCGCTTATACAGAAAGATGAAGAGGAAGAGCGGAGGAAAAGAAGGCGAGAGAAAAACAAAGTGGCTGCAGCAAGATGTCGAAACAAAAAGAAAGAAAGAACAGAGTATCTACAAAGGGTAAGTCGTATGTAAAAGCCTCAGTCAGTGTTGGGGAAAGTTACTTTAAAGTAATGCATTACAATATTGAGTTACTTCATTAAAAAGTAACTAATTGAGTTACTTTTTATGGAAAGTAATTTATTACATTACTTTTGTGTTACTTTTTGTCACCTGAGCTGGGCTTGCATATTTCTTTTTAATAACAAAAAAAGCCCCAAAAGTTATAACTGTAAACGCCCTTTCACACCAAAAGTGAAATTAATAAGCCTCAGGCTAAAGGAAGTGCCTCTGTACCTCACTCCCAATTTCTCTCAACACGGGGCGGGATAGGTGTCAGTCAATAAATGGGAAAACAAAGTAACTTGCGTTACTTATTTCAAAAAGTAACTTTCTTGTGAATTTAAAAGTAATGCATTACTTTGCTAGTTACTTGAAAAAGTAATCTGATTACGTAACTTGCGTTACCCCAACACTGGCCTCAGTTCTGTATCAACAGATAGTACGAGTGTATTGATGTGCCTTCAACTCTTCACTGAAGGAATCTGAGCGTCTAGAGATGATGAACTCGGAGCTGAAAGCACAGATCGAGGAGCTAAAGCACGAACGACAGCAGCTCATACTGATGCTCAATCGCCATCGGCCCACCTGCATCGTGAGTACAGACAGCATCAAGACGCCTGAGAAAGAGGCCAACCCTCTGCTGGAGCAGGTGGAGGCCAAATGAGAAGGAACCACGCATTTCCATGTTACTGTTTACAGGTCAGCTCGTCTCCAGCTCGCTGAAGCACTTGGCTCGAAGCACTTGGACATTTTAGGAAAGAGAGAATGGCGTCTCAGACCTGCGAGGTTGGAGTTTTGAGGCTAAACGAAGCAAAAAGAAAAACACACAGATGGCCTCATTAAACTGGGCTGTGTTTTGGTAGTTACAAAACTTTTGTGGGATAGTTTTTTTTCCTGTAAAAGTTTTTTTTTGTGGTCATAAAGTGCCTTATTTTAGTCCATTTAGTTTTTTTTCGAAAGAATTGTCTATAGCTTGTTCTGAATTGATGAAAACACTCATTGAATGGTTGGACATGCATGTTGTGGGCTTGTCATGTTAACTGGATGATTCTTCACGGACTGTCTCAACATTTATTCACCATTTGTTGCCTTCAGTTGTTTTTTTTTTTCTCTGACGCAGGCGTCATGTATGCACATATGTATGAACTGTTTAAATCTTGCCAATTTATTATAGTTATGTAGTATATAAATATATATATATGATTTTTATACTTCTTGTACATGGACTTATCACTAGATGTGATACATTTTATGCAACAATTTCATAACCTCTATTTCTGTGACTTATTCAATTTGTTGTATAGCTGTGAAAACTGCAAACAATTATTAAACAAGTGATTTCCAAAGTTATTTTGCAATGCTCAACATTTTTGGAGTTGGTCAACCTGGAGCCGTTTACTGTACATGTTAAAATGTTCACATTCAGTTTAATTTTCTTTTCACCTTTTTCTTGACATAGGCAAACTAAAAGTTCATGAAAGTGAATCTAACAGAACATAATTGTGACAGATTTCTAAACATCTGTTTGTAACAGATACTGTATATGAAAAAAAACTGAGTTCCAAATCATTTTGGTCTAAAGTGTTTTTGGAATGTTTCCCATAAGAATTATGATAGCAAGATAAAAAATAAAAAAAATCTTCTGTCATGAAGTTCCTATGTCATTTGCCTTTCAAAATCATCATGTACAGTTAATCTATTAATATTAAGTGGATATGCATAGAAATACAAGTGTGCCATTAAATGTACAATCTTTTTACTTGGATTTACTACATGTCCATAAATGCCTATTACAGCAGTTTCCTAAATAAGGGAGAAAATGGGGAAAAAAATTTTGTGGAACCAAAGGTGCTGAAAAGGTGGGCAAGTGCTAATGCACTCTTAATAACCACATTACCACAATATAGACAAAAAAAATAGAGAGATTGATTTTGGCTGTCAGATGAGAGAAAGATGTCAAATTTACAGTCACTCACTCTGAAGCTGCTTGAGAAACACCCTCACAGCAGCGCTGACTGTAACATAACATTAGCGTAATATAACACAATATAGTGCTATAAACGTATAGAAAAAAATCAATTATATATACAGATTCATTAATATGTAGCATTTTTACAGACTGTGCAACAATTAACATCTCCCAGAGAGAACCGTTCTTTTCAGTTTCACAATGTTTTTAAATGTGAAGGCACTGCACTCATCCAGAGCCTCACACTGAACTGCATCATCTGTAATACATCTGTAAAGAAGAAAACCCCTCTTTAAAGAGCTCTCTGTAATGTAGCCTTTCAGAATGACTTTTCCTGTGAACGGCTTTAATTGTCTGAACTCAGTTGCTTTCCATCTGTTAGTTTCATTCAGTCCCCTGAGGCATTTGGCAAATTCTGCTTCTGAGATTTTCATGTTTGTTGCTTAAAACAGCTGTGTCCTGCAGACATCCTCGTCTCTTTTGGCCCTCGCATCCATATTAGGATCCATAATATCCTAGGAAGGAGTTTAATGATTTGATGAAGGCCTTGTCAGGTTCAGCATCACAGATGATTCCACTAAACTGAACTGGCATGTGTCTTTCTTCATACCACAGACCCTTTCTATCCAATTTCATAATTTCCTCAACTGTGGCTTAGAGTTTCCACGTGTTATTTCCACTGGGAATGTATTTCTATGTTTCTGATGTTCAGGTTTACAGACTACAAGGTTTTTTGTTTTTTGAGACCCTATAAGGTCCGATTACTCCATTCCTGACTTCTGCTGAATATTGATTGATTGGGTGATTGATTGGTTGGTTGGTTGGTTGATTGGGTGATTGATTGATCGGTTGATTGATTGATTGATTGATTGATTGGTTGGTTGGTTGGTTGGTTGGTTGGTTGATTGATTGATTGATTGGAGTATCAAACAATGTTGTAGAACCTTATGGAAGGCCTTTTGACCCGTTTCTTCAACAATTTCAGAAAACTGTCTACAGTATTATGGGCAATTTCATTTTCCAGGCTGGAATTTTAATTAGCCGTCATCACGAAATCATGATCTGAAAATGAGGATCTCTTCAGTTTCCAAATGTAGTTTTTCATCATTCTCCATTATGCCATGTTCCTTCTGTTTTCTTTCCATGACTTCTACCATAAATTTTCCAACAGTTTATCCATCTTCGTCTGCCATGAAAAGTCCTTCATTCTCGGTGTTTTCCCTTTTGTAGTCTTTTCACGGCGACTCCGTCCCTGTCCCGTTATTAGTCTTCCTGTTCATGGCTTAAATTTACAGATTTGAAAGAAACTGGAAGAGAAGTAAATATGTCATGCAATGTTCTCATACATCATATTCCAAGTCTTCTGAAGGTGTACGACAACCTTGCATTTTTTACTTATTGCCCAATTAGTGTCAAAAACAGGACTTTTATTTTGATACGGCAGAAAAGTCCCACAGTCGACACACACAAGCTCAGGTTGTTTGAATCACTTACTCTACTTACTCTTAAATGTTTTAGTTGCTTAGTGACTAACTATTATTATCATACCTGGCAGCAGGGGTGGGTTTACCATTTTGGGCCTACACTCTAAAAAATGCTGTGTTGTTTCAACCCAACTTTGGGTCAAATATGGACTCACCCAACTGTTGGGTTAAATTTTTTTATTAAAATTTTAACCCAAAAGTTGGGTTAGTCCATATTTGACCCAAAGTTGGGTTGAAACAACCCAGCATTTTTTAGAGTGTAAGCAAAGTCAAGACCTGAGGCCTCACACGCCACGCCCCAACGTTACCGTTGTAATGTTTTACTTCCAATTACACAGCATTGATATTAAATAGAATTCAATACGCATTTGCATAGTTTGTGTGGTGGTTAACACCACTACTGCCTGGCAGTGTATTATAAAGCAAAACAAAAAAACACTTCTTTACCACTCTTTCTTGCTTTTTTGGCTGATAATTAACATACTCTAATGTTTATAACATTTTGAGTATTTATAACATTTCTATGATCATCATAGGCCTTATTTATAATATAATATTGTGCATAATCTGAGCTGTTCCAATGTAGTCTCATTCAAAAGGGCACACAAGTACCAAATACTTCTGAAGCAAACTATCCCTGATCCGGAGCAGCTGGTTATGTTCACAGAGTAAGTTTACTATGGCTATGTACACTAAGTGTCACCTGTTTATTACTCTAACATTCAGGGACTATAATGACACGGATACAGCGATATTAATATGGAGTCTGTCCCCCCTTTGCATCTATAACAGCCTCCACTCATCTGGGAAGGCTTCCACAAGATTTTAAGAGTGTTTCTGTGGGATGTTTTGCCCAGTAGAGCATCTGTTCCAGTTCATCCCAAAGGATGGGGATGGGGTTGAGGTCAGGGCTCTGCGTTCTTCCACACCAAACTCATCCAACCATGTCTTTATGGACCTTGTTGCTTTGTACATTGGGACACAGTCATGCTGGAATAGAAAAGGGTCTTCACAGAACAGGTTTCCACTGCTCCAGAGTCCAGTATCTGTGTGCTTTACATCCCACGCTTGTTACTGTACTTACTTGGTGATGTTGAATTAATTTTATACACCTGTGGCAATGGGTCTGATTGAAACACCTGAATTCAGTAATTAACAGGTGTGTCCCAAAACATCTGTCCATATAGTGCGCATATACACTGCATTACCTTTGTAAACATAAACGGATGTAGATTCCAGCGAATTCCATCCAGACATTTCTAAAATATAAATCATTATTATAGGCTCCTAGAGCATGGAGGTAAGACAGAAACACTGTCTGGAATACAGATTTACGTATATTTGCAATAACTGATGAGAGAAAGAGATTAAATTTGATGTCATGTCAACTAGTGATTACTTGAGTTATTAGAGTAATTTCAAGGCAGGTTAATTAAGTTTGCCAGTAAAATGTTTTTTAAAGGTTAGATTTTGGTGAATATTTTGAGCAAAATATGTTTTGCTCATATTTACCAAGGGTGCCGATATCAGTGGGGAACACTACATATCTATTTTAATCCAAATTGTGTCACATAACTGAATTATACGATTGTAATAGCTAGCAAACTATTAGCAAACAATAATGCATATGCTATTAGTTAAACGCTCCTTGAGCAAAGACATCCATATCTACCTCAGCCAAAGCAAAATCTTCAGACTACACAGTGTAATTAAAAGGGTTCTAAATCCCAATATAATTGAATAAACACTATCGAGTCTCCCTTTTTTCTTATCTTGCTCAAGACCACATTTCAACTCTCCCCATTACGTCCCATGCAAAGCATGCTGGGAACTACAATACTTGATTGGTTTACATTTGCATACATAATTTAATCTAGTAGATTGCACAATTTAGAGAATTACATTAATTGAAAGCAAAGAAATCATGTTTGGAAGAGAAACACAATTTTGTTGTGTAGACCATAAATAATATGATTGAGTAAACTGTTTTCCGGTTGTTTTTAAGTGAGTGCAGGACCTACAGCTTGTCTTTATTAGCATTTTATCAGCACCAGTCACACCAAACAACAAAATAAAAAATGTTTTTTTTTTGTTATAAACATGAACGTGCAATAGGCCTGCTTTGTACAAATAAATAAATATTAACAAAGAACATTTTAGCTGTTTATAACCTTTTTCATCATCCTCTTCTTCTTTCTCTGTAACATGGTTGCATGATGGGAAATACAAGTTCACACTGCTTAGACCATTTGTGCACATTAAAGGATCTGAATGAATGAATGACATTTCAGTTAAGATGATCTTGAGAGATTGTGACTTTCAACCTATTGCTGATATTATTTGCCTATCACTATGATCATCGCTTTATATCAACTTTATTTTAACATTTATTTTTGTGACCAGCAGAGGGCTCCGGGGCCCCAAGTATTTGCGTAATGGATAATACCGCCACTTCACACAATATAGTACAACCTAATACTTAATATTCAATAACAATTCTTCTATCATAATGTGTTGGGTTGAGCAGCAGGAGCTACGATTGACAGCAGATCACGTGCTAGTTTTCCTCTCTCATGCCATTCGGCGTGATGATGATGATGATGATGATGATGATGGTGTGGAGTCTGAGGCTCACACGCATGAATCAGTGAAGTAGAGTTGTTTCCTGGAGGGATGTTTGATGCTGTCCTCACCCTTGCACTTAAGTTTTATTGGCGCTGGAAACAAAGTCTGTCTGAAGACTCGCGCGCTCTTTGGAACTGAATTTACGCGTCTAGAATATTTCCTTAATCTAAGGACGCGATTCAGGATTCATGAAGCAGGATTGACTGAAGGTAGAATTTAGCGCATTTTAGCAGTGCAAAATGTGCGAAAAAAGCGACAACCACTTTGGAACGGACGCTTCTCAGACTGGGCAGATGAAAAGCTCCGATGGAAACTTCGATCAGGTTGAAATCTCCGAATGTAGAGACATTGTTCCTACCTGTAACGCGCGCTTATACCGGAGGCGATGGCTCATTTTGTGTCTCTTTAGCTCTTATTCGCTTTGCAACGCGTTCCAGTGGATCCAGTACGGAATCATCAACAACATCTTCATGAAATTCTACAACGTCTCTTCATTCGCCATCGACTGGCTGTCAATGATCTATATGCTGACTTACATCCCCTTCATATTTCCAGTGACATGGCTGTTGGAGAGGAAGGGGCTGCGGGTGATCGCTCTGCTCGCAGCCTCGATCAACTGCGTGGGAACGTGGATCAAAGTGGCCAGCGTTCAGCCCAACCTGTTCTGGGTCACGATGCTCGGACAGTTCGCCTGTTCCTTTGCGCAGGTGTTCATTTTGGGAATGCCGTCTCAGGTCGCGTCCGTGTGGTTCGGATCTGATGAAGTGTCCACCGCCTGCGCCATCGGCGTGTTTGGAAACCAGGTGCGTAAAAGCGCACGGAGCGCATCGCCGCACCGCCACAGAACAGAGCTTGACAGCCTTCATTTAACTTACATTAATCAACTGGACTAGATTACACCAGAAGCTCGACTTTCCCGAATATGTCTGCACACATAAGACTGTGCATTTCTTTTGCCATTTTAAGCACAGAAACAACTAGCGAGCTGTGGAAAGCAGGATGCAAATTGGGTTAATTGTGGGGTTAAACGTAGCATTGAATATTCATTAGTTATAAGTTTCAACAGCGTTTTCAAGCATCATTCCCAGCAACCGAGTTGAAAATAGCGGTAAAAATATCAATAGCGGCTGCTTTCCCTTACCATCCTTATCGGACACAAAACATTAGTTTGATACTGTCAATAATAATCACTTTATGGCGCATTTATATATACAGTCAAACCAAAATGTATTCAGACACCTTCAACATGTCACACATTATCACAGTTTATTCGCTATAGTTTAAAAAATTGTAATAAAATATGACAAGAACTCAGAGTTAAACTGTGTCAGAACGAGGCTAATTCATCTTGATAATGTTAGATAACACTTAAGCAAAACATGGTCAGGTTAAAGTTTCTGAATAATTTTTGGCCCCAAATTTTACTGGTAGTCCACTGTATGAATAATTTTTGGGTATAATATATCACAGTTTACTTTATTTTGCTCTCCTAACGTACATAAATGAACTATAGTGTCCTGCACCCACTAGTAAAAAAAAATATTTAAAATTATATCTGGTGTCTGAATAAATTTGGTTTGACTGTAAGTATATAGCAAAAAGTTTTATTTAAAAAAGGTTTTGTTTTAAGTAGCTAAAATTCATTCAGTAATCATTTGTCTACTTGGGCGCCAATTATTAAACGGGGCAGACACGTTTTAAAATATTGAACTCATAATAATTTGCGTTCATTTTCTGTAAACATCTGTGTTTGAATGTGCTCGTACATGAATATCTGGAGGATGGCGCTGCCCTTCGAGTTTGCACCCTGTAGTTTACTCTTATTTATTTATTTAAACCTATTCAAATCAGTGAAATTGTATTTAATCGGTGAAAACTGTTGGACTTTAAATTTCATTTTAACACTGAAAATGTTGCATGTGGAGGTTCAATGTTTTTTTCTAGCAGCTCCTTGTTGTGCCTTTAATTGGAATATATAAATGTCATTAGTATACGCCCCATGACTCATATTATAACTGACCCTGATAAAGTCATACTAAAATACTGTAAATATAGTAACAGTGATGACGGGAAACACTATCACTATCATCGATATTGCGGTGCTTAGAGGGCGAGACCAGATAAGATGGAAATCAACAATGTGATCTCTGTAACCTGGAGAACTGCACAACAATACTCCACTGAAAGATATGCTTTAAGACAATTTACCTTTCCAAATGAACACAACCCTTACCAAAAAGTAGTATACTTCAAGTTTATTTAATTAAGTATACTTAAGTAAAGTTCAAGTATATTTTTAAGTATACTTTATGTAGCAAGTGTACAAATATCAGTGTACTAGTAGTATACTTGTAAGTGTACTATTTCAATACTCCTTGGGACTAAATTGGCCCACTTTCTAGTATATAAAAGCATACTTTTAAGTATAACAGTAGTACACTTTAAGTACACAACTAGTTTACAACAATATTTTTAGCTTGTACTGCAACTATACTAAAAGTGAACTTATAGGAATACTGATAGTTTACTAATTAAATACTTGTAGTAGCATTTTAGTACACTTTGAAGTATAATCTCAGTAAACTACTAGTTTAGTAGTTTTATACTGCAAGTATACTC